TACTGGTGTAACAAATTGAAGATATACAAATTGTTCGAATAGCAAAATTGGTCGAATAGTTCCAGAGAAATCGAATTTTAAAAATCTTTGCCATTCAAAATTATATTCTTTTAAAAGATGCAGAAATTTTTATACAAATTTTTGCATGAACAGTTCAGGAACTATTTAACCAATCTTGCTCGAATTTGGTATTTTGCCTTGCAAAATTATATTCTTTAACATTATGCTAAAATTTGTATACCTTACAATTCAACATTTTCCCCACAATTAATAAGTTAAGTAATGAATATTTACTAAAAATTATTTTCTACATTTTTTTTTATCTTTGGATCAACGAATTTTATAATTGTGTGCAGAAATGTTTCAATTCACTTAAAAAATTCTCGAGACATAGCGAAGCACGCAAAAATTAAAATTAACCAAAGAGGACCAAACTTTTGAGCGCACTCCTGTACATAGAACTTGAGATTAAATCAAGACTCTAAAGTGTGATTTCTGAGCCCCAAAATCAAGGAGTAGTCACAATCTGGGAAATATAGTCCCTAAAGTTTAGTCAGAAGTGTGAATCAAAGCTTAGTACCCTTGATGATAATTTTTTTTTGCGTATTTCGCCATATCTCTTGAGCTTTTTAAGCAAATTAAAAGATTCTGCACACAATTATACACTGTTAGTATTATTATCCCAAAAATACGGTGTGATGACCGGAAGCAGTCTGTCCATCTGATTAACCGTAAGTTTACGGTAAGGAACATTTATTATCTTTACGGTTTTGAAACCGTTTACTACTAGCATGGTTATAAAACCATTAATATAAAACTATACTTTTTTATTTAATCATTTACAATTACTATGGTTTCAAAAACATAAGAAAAGAAATTTAATTTCACATAAGAGCTAGCCTTTTCGATATGTGTGTGGGAAGTGCAGGACACTAGAAACTGTTCATGTGTTGAATGGAATGGAGAAAATATTGTGGTGTCAATGCTGGGACTCGAATCCCAGTTCTCTCGGTCATGAGACTGACAGATTAGCCTTCTCGGCTGTAATATATGAGCAGTTAAAAGGAACTAAGTGGGCTTAGTCGGTGCTATAAAATTTTGGTTGTTTAACAGTATTGGGTAAAAGCAGTTGATAAACAATTGTTCTCACAGTTAAAAGCTTGATTACTATGCTATTTATGGTTATTTGACTGTTTTGTGTGAATATTGTAAAATAACAATTAAATAAATTGTAATTTAACAATTTTTTTCGAAAAATTTCTAACAGTGTACAAAGCTAACTCCAGCCGAAAAATATCTTTTAATAATTATTTCTATTGTTTTTTAATATTTTTCGAAAAAAATTTGAAATCCAATTCATACAATTTTTGACTCATTTAAGAGAATGCAATTTTATATAGTAAAATTAAAAATTTAAACGAAGTCGGTCGAATAGTTCCTGAGAAGTCGAATTTTAAATATACAAAACTACTTTTAAACATTTACGAAAACAAATCTTTAAATTGTTTGAGTCACATTCTTTTAAAAATCTATCAGTAAAAAATAACCAAAATACTAAAAATTTTATAACGCAGCTTGTTAAATAGTATATAACTTTAACAGAAATCTGCAAATAAAATGTTTTAAACTAGAAACAATAGAATAATTTAAACATAAGTGCAAAAATCGAAAGGTTAAGGGCAAAAAATGTATTTCTCAGCTATTAATTAATTACTTAATATGAAAGTATCATTATTTCAACAATAACTTATTGTTCATTGCATGAAATATATTTTACATACTGTTTTCTTCATTAACGACATTACTGACATAAATATATATTATCATTGCTGGTTAATAATTAACAATCCCCTTCAGACAGTAAAAATATTTTATTTTTTAATGTTAACTTAAAGAAAATTATATGAGCACAATTTATTTCTTTATTAACCAATCAAATGTTATTTTTGAATAAATTTGCTTTATTTCAATTATTGATTTATATACTGTTAAACTTTGTTATCTGTTTTTAAATTTGGAACTTCAAGGAGCTTTTGAAACGCTAAAACTGAACTGAACTTTTAAAACTGATTTTTTTTTATATTTTTTATTTCAAAAATATTTACAATCTCAAAAATCTGGTAACGAATTTCAACAGTATGCAACTCAATGCTTAAACTAAAATAAAAATTACTAAGAAAATGCCATTCATCTAATTCTCTCTAGGTTAAACTGAAGAATGTATAAAAAATGTATCGTCTGAACAACGCTTAGAACTTAAACATATTCTATGTATCAATTATTTTTTATCAATTCTAGCAAAACTTTTTTTATAGCATTTACCCTAGAGCACAACTAAAAACGAAAGATCCTCTTTATAAAGATTCTCTTTGACCGAGCCATATCTGCTAAATTTAATTTGTTCAGAATCTTTCATTTCTGGTATTGTGGTGCATCTCATTTTTTCTGGAAATGAAATTTCCCTGTTTTGATCTTTCTCCCATTTTTCTTTTTCAAATTCTCATTACATTCTGTTTTGTTAAATATTTGAAATGTTACTTTTTAAGCTGTTCAAAACATTCTATCGAATATATTTCCAAGACAATTTTGTTACTTTTGTTTTCTGGTTTTGTGATGTCTCTCATTTTAATAGAGGGGGGGGGAGGAAATTCCCATGTTTTGATCTCTCACCGACTTTCTCTTTCAAATTCTCATCACATTTTGTTTCGTTAAATATTTGAAATGTTACTTTTTATGCTGTCCATAGCATTTTATCAAATGTATTTCCAAGACAATTTTGTTTTTTTTTGTCTTGTAAAGTTTCTTCACAAATGCGGTTAAAAATATTGAAGGTTATTTTTGTTAAATCTTTATTTTTCATCAGCATGTATTACGTGTATAAAATTAACTAAATATGTTTAATTTATTTTCATAAGTACTCCATCAAAAAAGATAATGCCTCATAAACAGTGAAAATCTGAAGCTTGTTTTAGTTTTTTCGATTTGAAGTATAATAAAATACACCAGGAAAAGTGCTTACCGTTGTAAACACTTAAAATTTCTCTTCAAGCTAAATAAAAAAAATAGCGTTAGGACCCAAGACTGAATCAAATCATGTTCTCAGCTCAAATTGGCTGTATTTCTGATTTCTGATTAAAAATATTAAAGTATTAGACGGATCAGGGCGGATTAGACGGATCAGTGCCCTTGCATTCAGGTTAACCGTGGAAGGTTTTTGTGAACTTATTCTCCACGTAGCAAAATGAGGGTTAGTTTCACTCCAAAAGACCTCCACAATAGCGAGTTGGTTCAAAATATTGATCAAAAAGCTTACTTGTCAATTAAGTAGAGTTAAAAACTACAAAATTTTAGAGTTGTAAATTGTCATAGTCGTTAGTCTGATGTGGATCAAGGTATGAAAATTAAGTATATATATCTAGAAAGATAACTCCTAAGTTTATGGTTTATTCATTAATATTTCTATTTAAATTATCAATTATCAAAGACTATCATTTATGACCAAATAAATTCCATTTTAGCTTTTTTATAATGAATATGATTTTTATTAAGTATTACTTTTCAGAATTGTTCAGGATTGAGTCAATCACACCGCAAAAAAATTCCAGATTGAAATACGATAAAAGTAGAGACACTCAGTTTGCCAGTATTCTTCTCTTACAGTAAATTTATTTTTACCGTAACACGTTAAAGAACAAGAATCTTATATAACATAATTTCTACAGTAATAATTTCAGCTAAATCGCTGAATCATTCTAATTAAATAAATATTACTCTAAAAACTACGATATAGTACTTTACTCAAAAATTGGATTTATGGTAAAATGGATTTTATAGATGGTATACCCAAAGCACTTTATACTGTAAATCAGCCAGATTTTCTTTATACCAGATTTTTTACAGTGTTATATTCACTTTTTTCTATTTAGCTCAATGCAATTTGTTTAGAAAACTTAGTAGTGTAGTATAAAAGGTTTTAGCTATGACAAAAAGGTTTTTGAAAATAGAACAAATAAATATAACACATACATATAGAAGCAATTTAAAAGAAATAAAACTTTTGCGTTCGTACCGTGCTTGACATGATAATGTAAACGAGGGTATAATTTGTTAAATGACAGTGCAATAGTTAAATTTCAATGAATTACGTAATTGTTAAAATACTATTAAAACAATATTGAATAGTTCATGCAACATTTCAGTTTCAGTTTTCAATTTAAATTCGTTATTCACGCACTGAATAAAATTAATTCCATTAAATTCCTTTTTGGTAAATCCTGCATCACACTAAAATTAACGGAAATAAAATAATGCAAATCCAATACGAATTTAACATTTTAAATACTTAATTCTCAAAAAGATTTCTGTTTAAAAAGTATTTGCAATTCTGCTTAAAAAGTAATTTCTTTATATGCAAAAATTCGTAGAAATGTTTCTTAAAAGTTAAATCTTAAATAAGGCACCTCATATTTTATATATGCATGGATTATATGTTTTGCGGGTGATAATAGCGCAAGAATTACATTAAGAGCAAAAGTAATTCTTCGATATAGCACGGAATTCTAAATGGCTGCAATGTATTCTCATATATACTCTAAAAAATAAGTTCCCAGATTCTGGACTTAGCAACAAATCAAATAAATATTTTTGATGGCTTAAGCATTTCTGAGAATTATTAAATCATGTCAAGAGGGCATTCATGTGTGCCAAAAGTGCACCGAAACTTAAACGCACTCTCAGAAAAAAGTACTCCCTTTTCCCAGAAGAGCTTAATCATGGCTTGGGCACCCTTCTTCAAATTTCGTCGAAATATCTCGTCCTCGGGACATTTTCAAATCCAGGACTGAGGAGAAAAATGACGCAATTTCGGGAATTTAAGGGGGGGATGCATCCAAAATGACGGGGGTTAACTGTCGCGCAAGCTTTGACGTCATCAGGAGCGCATGTGCCCGGGAAACCTGGGGTTAGAGAAAACCATAGGTACGTACCAACTCTCCCCTCAGAAGATGAATCCACATCTCCTCTTTCGCATCTCCACTTTTCCCGCTCTAAGCAGGAAAAGCTCTCTTCTCTGATTGGTTGGTTTAACTAAGAAGAAAAGTAAAAAAAGTTTGAGTGAAGGTATAGTTAGATGGAATAGAGATCTTTTGACTAAATATTTAGGTCTTATCAAGATTGTGTATGACATCCGCTTCGTGGTATTTGATTACGAATCTCCCTCGTGAGAAGGTAAGCATTGTTTATAAACTTGTTGAATAGATAAATTGTTGCACGCTTTGCTCTTATAAGTGCTTGGAGTGATTTATGTTTACATTTTAGTACATTGTAAGTTAAGTGCTTTTTGATTGTTGAAAACAAAATTATATTGCATTTAAAAAGTTATAAAAGGTATTACAAAAGAAGAAAATATTGCATTTTTAACAATTTTATTTGTTGTTTTGTTTTAAAATTTGTGTTTGACGTTTTGAACAATTGCATTTAAACTTAAACAGCTTAATTCCTTTTAAAGCAATAACTTAAATTGCACTTATAAAACTAGTTAATTAAAGACAAAAAATAACCATTTAGGAATTTTTGCTAAATTTTTCTCTTGTTTCTAAAAGAAACTGTTATATTTTTTTTTTCAAAGAAACGTATATTGCTATGGTTTTTCTGTTACTTCAAAAAAAAAGTCAAGCAACTTGATTATTACTAGCTATTTTTGTGAGATTTAAATTTGTTTAATTTATAAATCACTTTGAAATTTGTGGTCAAAAACTTTTACGAACTATAGATTAGGTTAAGGGAGTGATATTTTGTTTCAGTAATGTGTCAAAATAGTTATGAAATTCATAAACCTTTTATAATAATGGCTGATCCAATTTTCCGCTTTCTACGTTGTTCAAAAAATACAAAGTTACGCTCTAAAAATCGTTGTAAATATAAGTATACATGTAATAAGTAAACGGACAAATATATATATATATATATATATATAACTCAAAATTACAACCATATTCAATTGCCTTTTTATAACAACATTTTATTATTATTGCAAAAATTAACCTTGTTTCATATAAAATAAGTATCTATAAAATCATTATGCTTACAAATGTCAATAAAATACAGAGTTAATGTTTNTAAAAGTTGTTATATATATAGTTTCATATATATGCCTTCATCAAATAGATTTATCACATTTAAACAAGTTTTTCAATCTTTAAATTTATATAATTTACTTCTACGAGCATACAATTGTTATTCCTAAACACGTAAGACATTACTTAACAACAAAATTCCTTAAATATATAGAACAAATGTTTTCCTAAATTATTTTTAAGCACGTTTATTTACAAAGGTTATACTGTTTTAGAATTAGTAGAACTATTCAATTTCTGTATAGTTTAGTACATACTGCTTCAGTTTTTTTATCACTATTAAAACAAGATATTTAGTAATTGATTCATTAATTTTATACTTGTAAATGATTCGTCCTCTACACAAATTAAATATGTTTTTGCGCTTCAAGGATCCCATACATATTCTTATTCAAAATATAAAAAAGTTACTGTATATACATATTTTATATAATAAATAAATATATTTTATATAATAAATATTATATACTAAAAATAATGAATGTATTTAAACTGAAAATCGGTACACATGCAAAAAGAGACAGTTTCATTAAAATTGACATAATTTTAATGTACATATTTCAGTTACTTGGGATAAAAGTTTTGTCAAATTTATAACAAAATAATGTTGAAAATTGTCTGATTTATTTATAAGCTTGAAATGTAATTTGTCTCTTAATTGATAATTCATGATACAAAATAAATTTCATTTTTATGTTTACGATCCATAAATATGTGAATATGCGAATTCATGAATTAAGTTTATTTAAAATTAAAATCTTTTTTGTGAATGCACTTCTTTTATCAAAAAAATATGTTTTTTTTCGGTTAAGGTATCTGAGTGGGTTAAAAATCGTCAATTTTAAAGAATTTTTTTTCTGCAAAGCAGAGTAACAATTATATACTTTAAATATGCATTTTAAGAAAAATGTTGATTTTGAGAAAATTTATTTAGCGAATATACGTAACAAAAAAAGTTTATTGTAGATTTCTTTAAAACTTTTAATGCAGATTTTGTATTAAGATGAAATGTAGATATTCTATCAAGAATGAAGATTTTCAATTTCATTATATTTTTAAAATTTCATGAAGATTTTAGTTCGAAACACAGATAACTATATCACTGAACACGAAAAAAATATTTTAATATCCATGTATTACAATTTGTTGTAAAGCTATTAACGTAACTTAAAAAGTTTGCAGTCTCTTTGCTCAAAATTTACACTCATTCTGAGAAAAATGTTTTAAAAATTTTATACTTTATTTTGTGTTTATAATTTTAGAACACTTGCCTGCTAAAAAGTATCTTAAATGTTTTATTAACTAAGCTTTTAATTTAATTTCCGAAATAAAATTGTGTTGAACTCGAATATATTAAAGAGTTAAGATTTTGAGAATATTTATTTATGTGAACGAAGATATTCAATTTCCTTATATTTTTAAAATATTATAAGTATTTTAGTTCGAAATACATATTACTATATTATTGAACACGAAGAAAATATTTTAATATTCATGTATTATAATTTGTCGTTGAGCTATTAGCGTAACTTAAAAAGTGAGTAGTTTCTTTAATCAAATTTGCCCTCATTCTGAAGAAACTATTTTATAAATTTTAAGCTTTACTTTAGTTTTATAATTTAAGAATACTTTCTTACTAAAAATGATCTTAAAATTTTAATTAATTAAAATTTTAACTAAATTCCAAAAATAAAATTGTGCTGAACTTGAATATATTAAAGGGTTAAGATTCTCTCAAGTAATTACTGACCCATCCTCAATAATTTTTCTTAATATATATATATATATTTTTTGTTCATTTTTATCAAATTACGTTTATAAGTTTATAAGACCAATTTATCATTATGTTATTTAAACTTAATGCAATACAACATATTCCATCTCTGACGTCCTTAAAATTTACGTTACAAGAAACATTTGCATGTTATTTATGGAGCTATTTTCAATCATTATTGGAAAAGTAAAATATTTTAAGAAAACTTATGTTATTATATAGATTATTTTATAACTACCAATTTCTTTTAAATAAAAACCAAAAGACTACACCTATATGTCTATACATTCTTAATTACTATTTTAACCATAACGAATTTTAATTTATATAACTTTCTTTTAAATATAATAAGAAAAATTTATTTAATTCAATTATTTTATCGCAGCTACTTTTGAAACAATCACTATTAAAATCTTAGTATGAGATTTTGTTTTCACTTCTCTTTTCTTATTGGTTATTGTGAATAAATTAAAGGTTTATAATATTAGTTTTAAAAAAAATTCAACTTGCTAAATTAATCAAAATTATGTATTAATTTTACGGAAGAAATCTAAGTCTTCACAACATAGATTAGGAAAGAGTCATTTTTTTTAAATATTTAAGAAATATAATTATTGATATATTTAGAATGGCGCAAAAACCATTCATTAGTTTAAATTTACTTTTCAGTTTTGTATTTTCTACTAAACGTGTGGTAATAAAAAATGTTTTGAAGACCAGAATTTCCAGCAAACCGTAACTAGGTGAGCGGAAAAAAGTATGAAATTAGTGGTTTAAATACCGTATATGTTGGTTTAATGAACCAGAATTAGTTTTTTTTTTTTTTTTAAAAAAACCAGAAATGTCATTACAATACAGTGCGGTCATTTAACAGAATTTTTTTTCTCCGTGTATGGGTCAACTTGTTTTTCATTGGGACGCAGTTAAAAGTTTCTTTAATTTTAACTCAAAAACCTGATACAAATTAAGGAATTCTACATTTTTAATTTTTTATGTAATAAAACATTTTATTTCAACATACAACAGTAAAATGGTTCAATTTCATAATGAGTTTGAGGTAAAAACTAGTTGGTATCCCAGATAGAAATGCAGTTTTTCTTCGTGCTCTTTCACAAAGCTGCGCTTAGTAGGGTTGATTTCGTATAAAATTGCCCCAGTTCCACAACAACAGTTGAATTAAGGAAATTTATATAATCACAGATACAATTCATGCATTTTTATACGTTTGATACATATATTACATTATTATAAGAACTCAAAATTACTCTAAGAATATTCCAATTTTGCACAAAACTTTTTGAAGAACTTAGCTAAAGAACCACTGGTAATGTAGACATGATTCTACAATTACTAAGATTCTACTTTACTATATAAAGTAGAATTAAAGCGATGTAATTTATGTTACCCTAAATATAGCTGATGCTATTTACAGTTTGTAAAAATTCATAACTTTTTGAAATCGAATGATTCTCATAATTTATGAACTACATAAAGTGTATAAATTAATAATTTAAAATTAAGAATCGCATTGAACTAAATTTTAATTTAGTTTATTTTAAAAGTTGTTAAGCTCTTGAATTAAAATTTAATTCAAGTAAACTATTGCCTCGTTACTTCACATAAACTATTGTTTTCTTTTTAACTGAAAACTTATGTTACATAATTTATTACCGCGCACTTTCACATGTATTTAAAAATATGCAAAATGTAAATACATAGAAACCAAACTAGATTATTCAAAATTATGCAAATAATAAGGGAAATCATGAATAAATAAACAAAGTAAATAAATAAAATTAAAATAAACAGTTTCATTTTCAAAGAAAATGCATAAAGAACATTATGAAAACTTGTCAGTATATAAAAATTCGAGTTTAAAAAGATATATCTTAATGAAAATATGACATAGAATTTTTTCTTAAAATAAAAGAGTATTATAAAAAGCGTGCTTTGCTATATTCTTCCCTCAGGGCCTTAATTAATTTTTCATTCTTGCACGAAGATTTATAAAACTTTCCATCTGATTAAATTCCTGATTCAAACAATGGTGATTTAAATTTTTTAGTAAAGACTGTTTTTAAATTAAATTTACTCGTATATTAAAATATTTAATAAACTTTTGATTTCAATAAATTATATTTCAATACTAAATATTATTCAATTCAATAATAAATATTATTCAATAATGTTGATTTTTATAAAGAAAATGCTTAGAAAAATCAACATTAATGTTTTAAAAGTAGATGCAAATTAAGATCTTCTGTTACATATTTACAAACAAAAATGCGAATAATCAGTCATAAAACATTAATAATATT